GTTAACACAGCCATTCTGTGGAAGTGTTACGGCACCATCCCTTCGCTTGATTGCAGCACCCGTTGAGAATTAGCAATTCGGCATTTTCTCTTCCCAGTGTGACGTCACTGCTCGCTAGAGTACGTTCCTTCCTAGTTTGTTAGTTATTGGAGAGGGTGGGTATCTCCATGCACTTAGACCAGTATTGGTCCATTGTCCTTCCCTCTATGATATTCTACCAGTCTCTATATCCTACCGATATTGGTGCGTACCATCAGTCCCAACCGAGCCAGCGAGTTCGGCCTCCACTAGCTTGGCGGTATCTATAATGCTTCCCCCATCTGTCAGAGGTGTTAGAGACTTCTTGTTGGGCGGGAAACGTCCTTGAATTTGGCTCAGTGACCTCCTTTGGAGATATGAGGTTCTTTTACGTGCCGTAAAGCTACGACACGGGACACGGCTTAAAGTCCCTCCCGGAGGACTTGTTCCCTGAATTTTTCCGCCCTTAAAAATTCCACGACCTCCGCCGGGTTTGAACCCGCGTACCACGAGTCATGAGGTGGGAACGTTACCTCTAGACTACGGATGCCGCTACGTTCCTTCCTAAGTACGAGGTCAAGCCCACAACAAGTGTAGTTACACTGGAATGTAATCTTTCGGTTCTTAAATGGAGTCATTGGTGTTAGTGGTTGTGATAGTAAACTGTTTGTTAGTCGTTTGTTCTTTTGTCAGTAGCTCAGACCGCGTACGTAACGCAATTGTAAGATTCATTAGTGAATAATGAATTGGGGAGGATGTAAAGCGAAGGATCGTTTCTTAATCTGAGGGCCAGGAGGAGCCATGGAAAACCGCGATAATCTTCAGATCGATTTAGTGGGTGTCCCGGCTGTGATTCGAACCGGGTTCCTCCAGGATTCAAGTTGGATAGATACTGCTTGTGCTTTCTTTGCTTGGCCCAACGTATTTCAATTACATTTTTTTTTTGTGTGCAAAGTCAACAGCTACAAGGCATAATAATAATTCGATTTAATTCAGGTTCGTGTTTATCTACGTGCAAACTTAACAGCACAGAGGCCAATCACAAAGTTAGCACGAGTACATAGAAATACACAAAAATAACGAAAGAGCAAAACACGACAGTCTATATAAAGGCAATATATTAATAATAATTCCAAGAAAAATTAAAGTTATCATTGACAAGCGAGAAAGATAAAATAAGTAAATTTCCAATGGGCATGCCGNAACAACAACAACAATAACAACAAGGTTATTTTTTACGTGCAGGCAGTCCAGAGGCCAATAACAGTCCAGTCCAGTCCTGTCCTGTCCTGTTCTCTTCTGTTCTTATTTGCGTGCTAACCCAGCAGCCTAAAGGCCAATTATAGAGTGACACGAGCGAAAGAATCAGACACAAAGTACAAAACAAGGCAATTTATAACATCTGAGTAATTATGATGACAGTAAAATAGTACTGTAATAATATCATCAAAGTGATGATAATAGAATCAGGTAATAATTTTAGAGGGGAGAAAGCAAAATACAACGAGAGAATATAATGATGGTGTTATAATTCCGAAGTTTCTGTGCGAAGTGTGTTGTCTTGACTTCTCTAGGCCGGTCTGAACGTGACTATGAAAGCTGAGTTGCATTCCTGGGGTAGCGAGGTCAGTGACTTAGCCGAATGGCGGAGCAGGTTTTTGCCTTCGTCTGCCGATGCTTTGGCTGAGTCACCGGATATGCTCATCTCTTGCAACCTCTTCACCCTTTCCGCCCCTCGTATGCTAATTTTCGTTAAATCACTTGAACAAGTCCATAGGTCTGCCGGCTGAAATTACTTGGGGAACATAATGTGCAGATGAGGAACCAAGTTTCACACCCATAAGCCATACTTAAACCACGGAGCTGAAGATTGCTGTCTTCTTGGGCTGTAACGCCGTGTAGTTTGGTACATATTTACCAAGAAATTGGTCTAATAATAGTTTTTCACAGTTCTCCTTTGGCTTGTGCGAAACCTTTTTAGCGGCAGATATGCCTCTGTGAACACTGACCAGCCCTACCCGGAGAAACTTAATAGAGAAGTACACAATTACAGAGTTCAAAGTGCCGGATGAATCAACTGTGCGCAAAAATTACTTGAAGCAGTGTTAGATATTACGATTAGATATTATTACAGTTGAAAGCATTAGAGATAAGATTCAAGGTATTTTGTGTGGCTGTTAATCCACGAAACGCATGACAGAGGGACTGTTTATTGCAATTATCATGGTTGGAGTCCTTAATAAGAATGAACAGTCTACCCCAAATCTTCTTGCCGTAGAGGAGTTTGAAACCACAAATAGCTCCGCAGTTTCCGAATTCTTTATTGATTCCATGAATTTACTATGGCCTAATGGCAATCAGTATGGCTTTGATCAAGCTTTATATTTTACACCGTTACTTTTTTTTTCTTCTTTTTTTCTTCCCCGAAGCGCTTTTGCAGGATCTATACTGTTCAGTTTGAGTCTCACTTATGTGTGGGTTACAGTAGACTTAACACGAAACAAAATTGAATTCACCGGAAAATGATAGTATTTTATTTATGGGATATTTGACAGTGCTATCTGTTGGCCTATGCCGATGATGTGAATCTACTGGGTGATAATGTAGATACCATAAAGAAAAACACAGACTTTAATTGACGCAAGTAAAGAGGTGGTCTAGAAGTAAACACTGAGAAAACTAAGTATATGTTGCTGTCTCATCACCAAAATGCAGGGCAAAATCGTGACTTAAAGATAGGAAACAGATGTTTTGAAAATGTGGCACAGTTCAGATATTTGGGAACAACGATAACAGATCAAAACCTGATTGAGGAGGAAATTAAGAGGAGACTGATCTCGGGTAATGCTACCATTCAGTTAGAACCTTTTGTCTTTTCGTCTGCTGTCCAAAAACATAAAAATTAGAATACACTAAACTATAATGTTGCCTATGGTTCTGTATGAGTGTGAAATTTGGTCTCTGACATTGAGGAACATAGACTGAGGGTGTTTGAGAACAGGGTGTTGAGGAGAATATTTGGACCGAAGAGAGATGAAGTGACAGGAGGTTGGAGAAAACTGCATAATGAGGAGCTTCATAACTTGTGCTTTTCTCCAAGTATAATTAGAATGATCAAGTCAATGAGGATGAATTGGGAAGGGCATGTAGCACGAATGGAGAGAAGAGGAAGGCATATAGGACATTGGTAGGAAAGCCAGAAGGAAAGAGACCACTGGGAAGACCAAGGCGTAGGTGGGTGTACAATAATAAAATGGATCCTAGAGAGATAGGATGGTATGGATTGGATTGATGTGGCTCAGGATAGGGAACAGTGGAGGGCTCTTGTGAACACGGTAATGAACCTTCGGTTTCCATAAAATGCTGGGAAATTCTTGAGTAGCTGCACAATTGGCGGCTTCTCAAGAAGGCCTCAGCTCTGTAAGTATGTAAGTATCAGTAGCTAGAATGGTAGAATGAGAAATGAATGATGAATTGGAAAGGATTTAGAAGGAAGCAGTTGTGGCCTAATCAAGGCACTGTCCAGGCATTTGCCCAGGGGGACCAAGGAAACCTGTGAAAAACAGGAGGGTAGTCGATATATCGGTCAAGATTTGAACAGAACACCTCCCCAGAGAGTGTAGATCCTTACCACTATGGCAGTCCAGATGGTAATTGTGATGTTGAACAAATATCAGCGAATTAAGATCTGTCGCATTCTTCCTTGGGTTCAGACATGCAGATGGGCACAGTACTCCATTCATTTACGCAGTTTGTGCAAAGAACTTGTTCAAACATGGCATTAACCTTCTGAAAATCTCATGAGCAGGCATATTCTGTGGTAACCAGATTGGAGGAGTGTATGAGTATTATGTTTTTGGACATGATCCATGCAGTTTAAATTTTTGCTGCTTCTGTTAGTAGTCCATATTTCGGATCTGTATGTAAATGTAGGTGCTGCCATAGCCTTAGAAAAGTTTATCTCTGTCTCTTCGTATTGATCTGCACACTGGTTAAATCAGTCCAGCTTCTCTTTTAAGGAATCTGAGTATGAGACCTGGTTACCAGACCTGACCAGACCAGACCAGTCCAGTGCTGTGCCCCCATCCTGGAGGGCCCAGTTTCTTTCTTGTCCTAGTTGTCCTCATATACACGCGTTGTCTTTCAGGCCCGACGAGACTCATCTTCCTGTTATTGGTCATTCTACTCTTCCTCTGTCCTCTGACCAGTCAGGAGCTAACACTCGCCAGCATGGCAGTCTGAGTCACTGGGTATTGGGCCCCACCGCCATGGCGAGGCAATAACTCTTGTGGGTTTTGACCACTAATAGGACCAGGCAATAACTTGTGGGGTTTGACCACCAATAGGGCGAGGCAATAACTTGTGGGGTTTGACCACTAATAGGGTGAGGCAATAACTTGTGGGGTTTGACCACTAATAGGGCGAGGCAATAACTCTTGTGGGGTTTGAACACTAATAGGGCGAGGCAATAACTTGTGGGGTTTGACCACTAATAGGGTGAGGCAATAACTTGTGGGGTTTGACCACTAATAGGGCGAGGCAATAACTCTTGTGGGGTTTGAACACTAATAGGGCGAGGCAATAACTTGTGGGGTTTGACCACTAATAGGGTGAGGCAATAACTTGTGGGGTTTGACCACTAATAGGGCGAGGCAATAACTCTTGTGGGGTTTGAACACTAATAGGGCGAGGCAATAACTTGTGGGGTTTGACCACTAATAGGGTGAGGCAATAACTTGTGGGGTTTGACCACTAATAGGGCGAGGCAATAACTCTTGTGGGGTTTGAACACTAATAGGGCGAGGCAATAACTTGTGGGGTTTGACCACTAATAGGGTGAGGCAATAACTTGTGGGGTTTGACCACTAATAGGGCGAGGCAATAACTCTTGTGGGGTTTGAACACTAATAGGGCGAGGCAATAACTTGTGGGGTTTGAACACTAATAAGAGTCCTCATTTTTGACCTCTTTGTGCTGTACAGGTCTTGAGAACCACGACTCTGGAGTAGGCATCTATGCACCAGATGCGGAGGCATACTCTGTTTTTGCTGAGCTGTTTGACCCCATCATTGAGGACTACCATGGTGGCTTCAAAAAGACCGATAAGCATCCACCCAAGGACTGGGGTGATGTGGACACGCTGGGAAACCTGGACCCTGCTGTGAGTATTAATTAAAACACAACTGCAATTGTAGTTACCATAGTCTAAATTGATTATACAAATTCATGAAGATGGGTAAGGTCCAGGGTATCAACACTGTGATGCGCTTTTGCCAGAAAATCCAGAAATAAACCTCATTCAGTTCACTCACTCATGGAGCTGAGCCCTTCCTGTGAAGCTGCCAGTTGTGCAACTAAGAAATGAACCTTTTAATATTAATGTATGATGCCTGTAGCATAGATTAATTTTCATCCTCCTGTCAAGAAGACACACCTGCTGAGAACTGAATTCTGTTACAGGGCAAATACATGCATTGTTTCTTGTTTGTTTAGATGAGTTAAAGGCTTCACTAATCGAGGAAAAAGAAATAACCGAACTAATTCATTCACTACATGGAGCAGAGTTCTCCTTGAAAGCTAGTAGTCGCTCAGCTAGTCAAAATATCTACCTGCTATGGAAGCCAGAAGTTCATCACAAGATGCCACTACTGTACTCAGTAAACTGAACACTCACAAATCATATTAAGCTTTTTCATTAATGTACTGTAAGGGAAAACAAACTTTGGAAAATAGTAAGAATGATGACTTGGGGATAATCATTGGGACAATTCTGATATTGGTTGAAAATGCTTCATGTGTAAGAGCAGCCCACAGGGTATTTTTTTTATTGCTAGTGGGGCGGGATTAAGTCCCTTGCACTGCAGCCACTTCTGGCCTATTGTACCAGCCCCACATGATAGGTGAGGGCGATTGTGGAGCAATTGGTGGAATGAAGATTGGCAGGGGAAGCTGAAGTACTCGGAGAAAACCTGCCCCAGTGCCACTTTGTCCACCACAAATCCCACTTGACCAGACCCGGGATCGAACCGCTTGAGCTACAGCGTGGCCAAGCCCACAGGGCAAGGATCTGAATGGTTGCTACTATTGTTTGTAGGGTGAATATATCATCTCAACAAGAGTGAGGTGTGGCCGTTCCCTGGAAGGCTACCCCTTCAACCCTTGCCTGACTGAAGCCCAGTACAAGGAGATGGAGGAGAAGGTCTCAAGCACCCTGTCCGGTCTGGAGGGAGAGCTGAAAGGGCAGTTCTACCCTCTCACTGGCATGACAAAGGAAGTTCAGCAAAAGCTCATCGATGACCACTTCCTGTTCAAGGAGGGTGATCGCTTCCTGCAGGTAGGTATGAATCTGGTAACACTATCACAAAAGAATCGACAGCATTGTTCCATATAGTGACTTTGATGAAGTCTTGTTCTGAAAGTCATCACCAAGATTTGTCAACTAAATATTCGTACATGTACATTCTTTTTGAAACTTGAAAGTATTTAATATGAATGTTTAAATGTGTTTTTGTAAACACTTAAGTAATTATTGACTAGGTTTACATACATGTATCAGGTAAGAGTACTGAACCTTTTATGGGATAAAGCACTCTTATGTTCATTTTACAAAGTACGGAAACTGAAATTAGTGGGGCTGTTATGTCCATGTGTCTGGCCTCATATCTTTCACCTGCAAACAAATTCTTACAATGTGGTATTTTTAATATGTCAGTCAACACAACAGTACCATAATATACAAATCAATACCATTGTGTTAGTTTTCATTTCTTGTGTGGAAGCATTTCTACATGTTTCAACCCTGCTAGGTCATCATCTGTCAGTCATGACGTGAGTATGTCCCTCTTTATTGGCTTGTTTACTGATATGGATCCAGATCAGTGATTTAAAGTTTTTTGTTCGGTTTACATATCATTTCTGTTCTGTTGTTGTTTGTATATTTGTTGTCACTGTAACATTTTTACCAATCAGTTGCATAGCAGTGATGGTGATAACACAGAGACACACAGAGTGATGAGAGGGATTTATGAGGTACGCCATTGAGATGGGCTGAGGTGCCGTAATGTACGTAACAAATTTCATAAAGATTGATTCAAGTATTGAGAAGTTAACTATTAAGGGGGATATGCAGGCGCACAGACACATGGACATCATGGCAGTTATGTAAACCTGCTTCTGTTTTCTCAAAATAAGTGTACTGAGTTAGAAAGAGAAATGACGTAACTTCTGTATACAGCATTTTTCAATATGATTTTCAATGTCCGATTTTGTGCAGTGTACTATTTTGAATCTGGTAAGTGCTCCAGCAGTAGATTTGTATCTGCAATGATAGTAACAGAGAATGTGTTCATCTTGCATTAAAGTATTATTTTATAGCCTAGTATTCTTTTGTTTTTCATGTTGAAGGCTGCCAATGCATGCCGCTTCTGGCCCACTGGACGAGGTATCTACCACAACGACGCCAAGACGTTCCTGGTATGGTGTAACGAGGAGGATCATTTGCGAATCATCTCCATGCAGATGGGTGGTGACCTTGGGCAGGTACGACACAGGACCACTACCATGTTATATATATATATATATAATGCAGATAAATTGAACAGAAGTCAGACAGATAATAAGGGTATCGTTTCTTATTTGATATTGCACTCCTCAGCCTGTGGGCCATCTGTCTTCTTCAGCTGAGTGCATGATGTCGATGTGGGGCTTAGCGGACATAATTAATTCACTTTGCAAGTGCACTGTACTGCAACTTGTAGTGCAGTTGTAACTCCCACATTTGAGTTACGTGTAATTAAATAAAATACAAATGTTAACTCTACAGGTGTACCGTCGCCTTGTGACGGCTGTGAATGACATCGAGAAGCGCATTCCCTTCTCGCATGATGACCGCCTGGGCTTCCTCACTTTCTGCCCCACCAACTTGGGCACAACAGTGCGTGCGTCCGTGCACATCAAGGTACCCAAGCTGGCTGCTGACAAGGCCAAACTAGAGGAGGTTGCTAGCAAGTACAACCTGCAGGTCAGTGTCCTGCTCTATAGAGTTCAAACAAGTGGGTCAGTGAGGTTATAGTGGTACCAGGCTTGGATTTAAACTAGTCCATTTTTGTTCTCTTGACATCTCCATGCAGAGGTACGCCATTCTCGGTGTTTCACTTGAAATAAAGCCTTAAACTTTAAAAACTAGATCTGTGATGCTTGGAGTCCTTCTTCTTCCATTTTCAAAACAATAGTGAAATTTTACTAATACAATCTGAAATATTTTATTTTCACTGAAGAATTGTATGAAGCTGCAAAATTTGTAAGAGAAATGTAGTATGAAAGGAAACTGTCTCTGTCTGCTTGATTGATTATTGATTGAATTCACACATGTTACAAGCATTGCTCCTGTGGAAAGATATCATGGCTTTCTTGAATCCCAGAATAGTTTACTATCAAATAACAAATCTTCAAGCACATAATTTTATTAAATCACTGCAGTAGCCTAGTCATGCTTGCGTGCTTAAGTGCACAGGATTTCTCAATAGAAACTGAAAGAAGGTAGTATGCAGGAGTGCACTGTCTTCTGAAATGTCTGCAATGATGTCAAAGCATTTTCTTTTTGATTGATTTTGGTTAAAAGTATGAAGATTTGGCAATGAAGAAATACAAATTTGCCAAAATTGTGTTGATTTCATGGTTCTAATTTTCAAAACTTAGTATCAGTTTTTCTACTTAAAAAATGAGATCTAAACCCAAGGTTATCTAAAATAGTACGTTTTAGTGTAAGAGATGTAATTAAATATCGTCATTGGTTCATTCTGACAGGTCCCTTCCTGGTAGGAGAGACCATGTGACATTTACCAGTTACAAATGTTTTAGATGATTATGTTTCGTCTCCTTGTTTCGTGTGGAGCTCAGTTTGGGACCTCATGGTTTTCAAGGAATAGATGCATGTCTCTGGTACAGGACCAGAAACTAGTGCGAATTTTTCTGTCTTCACTCACTTCAGAGAGAGAGAGAGAGAGAAAATGTGGCAAACAGCAAAAATTCTACTACTTCACAATCTGAAGGGTCCCTCTGCCAGCCTTCATCATTTCTATATGATCAAGTACAAAGGTGAAATCATTCTCATTTGGTGCTCCCATAAAAAGTAAGAATTGCAACCTTCATCCTAGCCATGCAGGCACAACTTCACAATTGGCCTTTTGAAATAAGCACAATATGTAGATTTCAGTAAATGAGTTAAAGTTTAGAAAGTATGATGAGCCTTGTTTGGGGAAGAGTGTGCACCGCCAGAGACGTTGAGGGTCCCACATTATCGAGATAGTCAGCTCAAAGGTGGTGGCAAGGTTGTCAGCCCTGTGCGCCGGCCGCTCTTTACTCCCCAGGAAAATTATTTATTTAATTCCTGGTACTCATTTCTATTAGAGATTGAGTTGACCCTAGGGCCATAGTGTGGCCGGAAGGATTAGGTCAATTGAAAAATCCAATGACCTCATTGGGCTTGAACCTGCAACCTTCTGGCTTGTAGCTCTTCTGACCAAGGGAAACAAAGGGTTTGATGGTACAATAAAACCCTCTTTTCGTTTTTCTCTCCTCACCCTCTCCATTTATTATTTTGTTTAATCCTTTATTACCTCCCCTCCCCCTTCCTGTTCTTCCTTGTGATCAATTTTGAAAGGACCAGTTCTCCATTGTGAGTTTTGAAATGTTAACAGGTCCGTGGCACACGCGGTGAACACACAGAGGCTGAGGGTGGTGTGTATGACATCTCCAATAAACGGCGTATGGGCCTCACGGAATACGACGCTGTGAAAGAGATGAACGATGGCATTGCTGAGCTCATCAAGCTTGAGAGCTCCCTGTAAACTGTGGACCAAAACACCACCACTCTCTAATACACTGTAATATTATGATATTCATTATAAGGCTTTTCCTCGATTCAAGGGAAGTGGCCAGAATCGAAAATTCATAAGGAAGTAAACCAATCTGCTACCCATATCCTCGTCTTCACATAATTACTGCTTCTTGTCTTCATTTTTCTATATCTTTGAATTGAAAGAAACATTACCTTCTGTTCATTTAATGCCAATGTTGATTTTTAAGAAACCGGGACAGTTGAGGAAATTTTTATTGTTCAAGAACCAATTGAGGACTAGCATGAAAGTGAAAGGATAATGTTAATAATGTTAATCAGTATTGTGTAAGAAGTTAATATAATGTATAACATAATGAGCAGTTATGAAGCTTTCTGTACAGTTGGTTTTGGTAACTATATACAGTCCTCGCCCAACATGGGAACAGTTTGTGACAGCAATATTTCTGCAATTTCAAATGACTGAAGGGATGGATGTTTTTTCTTGATCTGTTATTCCAGCAGTGTTCTTTCTTCCATTACTTTCCTTCTCAGAGGAAACTTTGTAGTTCATTTATGCCTTTGGATGTTGCAACATCCGGTTGTTTACATCAATTCAAGGATGTGGGGTGCGAGATGTTTTCAGATGTAGATCATAATAGTTTAAAAAAATCATCAAAAGATTTCATTGTTGCTTATGTTTTAAACTAGAAGGGAGCTAGAAGGTTGCATTGGCGGCAGACATTTGTCTGTTCCAGTCAGAGCAATTCAATATTCCACAGTTATTAAAATAGCACAACAGCCCTTAAGGTGAATATGTAGTTGCAGTACTGTACGTAATAGTTCCTCTCGCTTGAATTGGGGTGTTTACTCTTCAAGGCAATGCCTTGCTCCTTTGGGCTGTCACTGTTACTGATGCAGGCTACTCTGTGTGGGTTAATGGTAAGAGTAACTGTAGCTTGTCACCTGACACCTTCGCTCCCTTTTGCATTAAGTTTCATGCAGTCACATACACAGTAAGCTTAATCACATGATAAGTTTATTCGGGAAGCTTTATTTTCATTAATTTTGAATGTGAAGAACAATAAATTTGAATTCGTTCAGCTGTCTTCATGCTTCTAGTCCTTAATTGAGAAAGTATATTACATAATTTTGCCATTTCATTGAACAGAAACTGAGACGATCGAGAAAGACATGAGACTATCACAAGTGCACCGAGGAATAAAAAGAGTACCATTCCCAAAGTATGATGCAGTTATCAGTTCCACTGTTTGAATAAACAAGGTGAATAAAATTAATAAAGAGATGTTAACATATGCTAATTGTTTGTTTAATCCAGTCCTTCATATGAGCGAGAGAGATATTACAAAACTGTGACAAATATATTCGGTCAACAAAATAAATGGTCCTTCCATGATGATAAAAATTTCATTTGCATGCCAAATTTTCCAGTAATATGGTATTAATATTTGGTATAAATTTGTGAATTTCAAATAGAGCCAGCATAGAGATGGATCAGCCAACAGTTAAGCAATAGATTATTTTCCTCGTATTATTCATGTACATTCAATAACTGAAATTATGTTTTCCAAGTTTGATGGAATATTTTCCATGAAGTAAGCTAGTACCCTCTGAACTTAACTGTATTTCAGCAATGGAAATTAGTTTCCATAAAAGAATGTCAGTATATGACATTTAAATATTCATTAAATACAGGAGCAACGAAACAAATTGTAATTTATAAAGTGAGGTGATAAAGACTGCTTGGCACTTCAGCTGTTGCCATGTGTACTTCAGTGGACCAGTATCTTGGGTAACTAGCTATAGCATCCTGTAGACATTTGTTCATTACATAACCCCAACATGACAGTCAGCAAGTCAGATACTGGAAACAGGCATAATTTGAATTTTAGAGTTTTAGTTCTAAGAAAAATCTTATATGCTATGCACAGCTATGCACAAGCACAGTTTGTGTTTCTCTTCACAGGATAGTAATAAACAATAGTGAGTATGTGGATAAAGAAGAAAATTATGGGTTTTGCACATGAGGGATGTACTGGTATCTTCTAGCATTTTAGTAATGTTACATAGAAGTACCGTATTTACGCATGTATAGGCCGCGTGCGTGTATAGGCCGCAGCACAATTTTCAGACAGAAATTATAGAAAAAATAATTTTCTTCGAATATTATTTCAGGAGTAGAAATTATTCCGAAATTTGGCAACGTTAATTTTTTTTTAAAATGAAGTGTGATTTCGAATATTTCAAATATAAGCCGCACCCTAGTTTTCCTCTTGAATTTTTGGCAAAAAAATGTGCGGCCTATACATGCGTAAATACAGTATTTCATGTTTTGCAACAAGTGGATGAGTAGAGGACAGACAGCCTTGTTCATGTCTCCACCTGAATTTTTTGTTTTATGATCAAAATTACTACAATATCAATATTATTGACTGACAGCATTGGATGCAAGAATGACTGCTGAGTAATAAATTGAAAAGGATTTGGAAGCAAGTGGCCATGGCCTAATTTGAGGAATTAGAGGGTTTGAGTAAAACTGCAGAAAACCTCAGGATGCCTGTGATTTAAGCCAAACAACTCCCAAGTACAAATATGGGGTTTACCACTAAAATCCTGCTGAGTATTGGGTTACTGTGTTGTGGAGGAGGGGATGAGATATAAGGAAAAATGTACTCCCAAAAGAAATATACAGTGGGTTCTGCTTAATTGGGGGCAACTGTCTGTCTGCGGTAAATCTTGGAGAATGAAAACAAAGCAACAACATAGCCAGAATGTGCTTCACTTATTTGAGACACCATGCCATTTAATTGGGCCAGTAGCTCTCACATGGCGTACTTGTGAATATTATGTCATCAGTGAATTACTGACATAGTAATATGAACACCTAGCTGCATTCACTCTCAGGCTTGCAGTGACTGTGCTTGTGAGTCTACACTGGTGTGTGCAGAAATGTTTCCATTTACAAATTTTAGATACCTCACAGCAGTGCATACAAGAGACATAGCAGAGAAAGCTGGAATGTTTAAACCTATAATTGCATGCGTTTTACAGCAGTGAGAGAACCTGAGAGATGAATGGACATTATGCCATGGAAAACAAAAGTGTGTTAGAGGAGTTAGCTAAAAAGCTGGGTCATAATGATTTAAAAGAAACAGATGGTTGTCGCAATGGAAATTCATGTTTTGGACAAAATTCAAGGACAATACTGATGCTGTAAGTGCTGAATAATGGAAATTAGAAGGCTGTCAATCTTCTTTGTGCAGATATCGACAGTGCTGATGAAAGAGATTTATTTTATCTTGTCATGCTAGACGGTTCCCCAAACTGCAAACAGTTCTATCTGCTTTCAAGAAAGCAATGGATTGTGTAATTGTGTCAGGCTGTTCAAACATGTCATGAATTGTTAAACATAAACTGTTTGTTTTTGGTGGTCTTTTTGATTTAAGGGGATTAGTGTGGATAGTTTACCAGCTCTGTACTACGGTAAAAAGTGTGTGGTAACTGAAATTTGTAAGAAATGGCCAGTGAGTTGGGACTTCGAATTGCAATAGAAATTGAAGAAAATTGTACTTGTACTTGATGACTATGCCACACCCTTATTTAGAGTCTCTGTAAATAACCACCTGGAATTCCTGTCTCACAACACCACATCCCTGGTATAGCCAATGGACAGGGAAATCGTAAAAAAAAGTCAGAAGACTTATGTTGCACAAAGCTGATAAACTACATGTTTGAAGCAATTCAAGAAAATGTAGTAACATCATCAGCTAAGGAGGTCAGTGCAAGGACAAATATTTTATAAGTGGCACAGTTTATTGCCGATAGTTGGTGAAACGTAAGTACCAAGACCAGAACTCTTTTGCTCACTGTGGTTTTAAATAGAAGCTGAATAAGGCCAATATTTAAAATGAAATCTTGGAAATACACGTTGGGACTTAATGAAGAGTTGCTATGCACTGAAAATAGTTTTCAATTCATTTTTGGTTTTCAAAAATCTAAACCCTCATTCAGAATTGAAATACAAGGCATTTCTGCTGAATGTGGCAAAACCCTGGGCAGCAGACACAGTCTTAGTGTGACCGGGCCGTCTACTCCCACCCCATGCAGGCCTCATTTTGACCCCCCTGGGCGACTCTCAGGTGATATGTTGAAACATACCCTCGCAAAAATTGTGAAGAGTGAACATTTCACAGGGAAGCATACTTCTAGGCAATGCCATGTTTGTGCAGTTCACAAGAAAAGGGGTACAACTGTCTATATTTGCAAGTTTTGTGTAATGCCACTTCACAGAGGGGAATGTTTCGAGAAACATCACACCCTCAAGCACTTCTAGGAGCACTGGTAAGTATTCTAAAAAATTTTTAGTTCATAAAATTAATTAGGAGATTTTATATTAATTTTTAAAGTGAACAGTGCACAAGTTATGGTAGTAGGTAAAAAATGCCGGTACCCAGGGTGATTTAAATATTTAAATTGCCAGTCTGCAAAGTGCTAAGAAGAATATACAATTTTATTTTTTTGGGGGGGGGGAGCAATATTTATCTGTGATATGCACAGATTGTTTCAGCTTATGTGAAGTCAGTATTTCTGTTACTCAGTAAACAGAGAGCTTACCTTTTGTTTTATGTACATGTACATGTAACTTTTTGTCCCTTTATGTGCAGCTACATATATTTGGGGCAGTCACTTAATTGGGACAAAATACTCTCGTCCCAGTGTGTCCCAGTTAACTGGAATATGCTGTATTTTTGTTAAGGACACCATTTTTATATCCATTCAATGAGATGGGAAAGTGGTGCTGGAGAAGTAAAACTCAGGTCTGCAGCTGTTCTTCAGAATCAGAAATGTTTATTTGATAGCCAGAGTTTGTCATTAAGTGATCATGTTGTGCTTGAATTTGTTTTGTTAGTTTGTTGTGTCTTAACCCCTCCCTGTTTATATCCCACATTTCTATATCCAGTCCCCTTCTCTCTCTCTCTTGTAAACCTATAAATGGCCTTGTAATGGAATCTTTAAGCAAACCCTAGACATAATTCAATCCTAGAAGTGGGTGGGATTTCTTTCGTCACCACTATGTACCATGGTTAGAGACGATGATTTGAGGTGTGTGATTTCTTATGAATATATAAAAGCCTGATTCATTGGAGACTGTTAAATGACTGAGAATTGCTGGATACAAATCCTGCTTCATGTTTCGAAGGTATGACTGCCAGACCTAGTTACTATGAATTTGTCACTGGTACGTCAGCCAGTGAAGTAACCAGGTACCTGCAGCATGACCAGGATTTCACAACATGGACAGGAGTTGCATATTCAACCACTACATTCACATCAGTAATCAAATGCAACTGCACTTTGAACCTGGCTGTTATATTATTTTTGACTTTAAATGTTACAGTTACAACTTTAATTTTTTTTTACATCTTCTCACAGAACCGAAGTACCCCGTTTGTGCCGTATGAGTAAGGTCGTCATGGCCAAAGTGCCCT